TGCAAAATTATGTGTGTAGTTTAAATCATTCCACTTTTTAAGGTTTAGATGCTGATTTTTTGATATCCTAGTAGCTACATGCAGATTTTATGACTATTTTAAACGTTTATGTTAACTTCGGAGCTTGGGTAACATGGACATGAATGTAGTCATTTTAAGTTAAGACAAAAATATCTGTCTGTGTTTCAGGCTGAGACTAAATGCGAATAAAATATAGACAGTTTGTAACTCTAAGGATATCATTGACAATTGCAAATATTTCTAAAGAAATTGTGTCTTTATTTGGACATGGGTGATTTGTTGACAGATGTATTTAAGATACCTTTATTAGTCCCACGAATGGGAAATTTCATAAGGCTGCCAGCGCAATGGCGGCGCCATCTTTCCCTTCCGACCATACATACATTACGCAAAAACATCACATGGGGAAGACAGGTCAGAGGGGTATAACAATGGAAAACATGAGGAAATAACTCCCCCCAGACTGAGCTCCAACAGGGAGATCAGTTTTAAAACAGAAAAAAACCACCTCTGCACATAGCACATAAAAAAAACTCTTAATACATCATAGAAACACATGACAAGCAACAGGGATGGGTAGAAGGTGTGAGACAGCCAGTGTAGACAGTGCATCCGGGCCTGCAGCATATGCGCTGGTCTCCTTGATCCACCGTCTGCATTGGAAAGGAATAAGCGTCGAAGGCGTTTGGAGGGGGATTATTCCCATTCGTGGAACTAATAAAGGTATCTTATCTTATCTTATCTTATTTATTTATTTCTCCTTTTTTGATATTGGCGATAAACTAAAATAAAAGTGGATGGAAATGGTTAGTCTCGCACTTTTATTTTATATTTTCTGGAAATATAGTTACATTTATCAGGGTGTATGCAGCCATCTTTGAGCCTGTCCCTGTGCTATTGATCTGTTGATTGTCCACACATAGACAAGTGTCCCATAATCTGTTTAAAATCTAATGAATGTGTTTGGTTTATGTGCTTCTCTCTTTTCTCTTTAATTCTAGAACGATACAGGATCTGTTGAAAAATCAATCAGCTGTCAGCTGGAAAACCCAGTTAGCAGTGAAAAGAGTGACAATATAATCATTTCATTTGCAAGTGGTGAGTTATCACACCAATATGTATCTGTGGCAGAAAGTGTTTCTTTTGACTAATGATGGATTTTACAGCCATTTAAAGATTGGGAGAAATTGTTTTGGTAATCATTTGCAGTTTTATTAATTTATTCTTTGTTCTTTTATTTTTGTAGGTGATTCACTGTATTGGATCATACCATTAGCGATTGTGTTGCTTGCGTTGATAGTGGCTGTAATTGTCTTTTTTCTTTGCAAAAAATACAGAAAGCGAGGTAAGAACCCACAAAACAATTATGAATCTTACTTTCTTTTTAACATCTTGATTTATTAATCATTATGCAAATGTGCATGATGAATGTTAAGTTATGTTATGAAGGTTAAGACACTCCATTATAAAAGCACAGCGTACTTACAATAAGATAGGAAAATATTGTTTTGCCACAAAATTACCAAAAAAATTACACAGTACTTTAAATTACTTAGAGAACAATGTGTCTCCATCCTGTAAAACACCTGAAGTCATGCACTTTGTAAAATGACTTGAAATTACTTGCACACTATGCTAACAGTATAATTTTTTTTCTAATTAGTTCTTTGTTTATTGTAAATGTTACTTATT